ATAACCAAAACCCTCAGCTCTGAAAACAGTCCAGGACTGAATAAGATTTTGGGCAAAAAAAACTAGAGAGTTTTGGTTTATTTTCCCTTTCATTTTTTGTCCTCATCACATTCATTGGAGGCTCAGTCTTCTATCATGGAGTAAATGAAATTAAGTTTCTACCTACGATTTATTTTTTGAATTTTTTGTAGAGATGGAGTCTTGCTATGTTGCCCAGGCTGGCTGCAAACTCTTAGCCTCAAGTGATTCTCCCACCTCAGCCTCACAAAATATGGGATTACAGCTGTGAGTCACTGAATCTAGCCAACTGTCTGCCTATTATAAAGCCATCCATTAGAAAGAGACTAAACCATACAGAAAAAGACATGAATTCAAATCCTGACTCTTCTACTTTATCGATTTGAAATCCGGGAAAATCTTCTTACACATCCATGAGCTTTAGTATTTCATTTGTGAAAAAAAAAATGATAATAATCATCCTGTCCACCTCTTAGAGTTCTGAGAATCAAATAAGAGGCTTATTTGAAAGTTCTTTGTTAATTGCAAAGATTTATACAAATTTAGGAGCTTTCAGCACCTACATGAGACTAGTCTTTGCCACCACTACCTCCTACCCCATGAGCCTGCCCACAGAAATATTTATACTCAGGGCTTAGAGAAAGCACTAAGGAAGATGGGCAACATATTGTTAGTGCTGACCCTGGATTCATGGAAATCAGTGAGAGGTCAGAATTCCTATAGGTTACCTGTGTCTTAGAACAATTAATAGTATGAGGGTGAGTGTCTGGGGAGAAACACTGAAATATCCATGAGACCCACAAGTCCCGTTTTTTCCAAGGAATGTTTTTGGGCCACGACGAAGAGGGAAATGACTGAAACGTTTTCCCGTTCTTTTTAAAACTTTGAATAGGGATCTGGTATTCTTTCTTCAAACTCTCCTTCACAAAAAAAAAAGTCATTTCAGAGAGGCAAGAAATGGCCAGATTCCCAGTGAATACCCTTGTCACTTAGCTTCATGTAGTAAGTAAGTCTGGCCAATGGAGAGGAGATTTCTCCGGCAACAACAGGCCAGACAAAGTTTTCCTAGGAGACTCCCTGGTGTCGCTTCAGGATGCTTCCGCTGCCACCTCAACAAGGTCTATCTTAGGTTTCAGCCTTGGGACCAGCCTTTCCACCACACCTTTCTCCCCAGTGCTCTACACAGCACATCAGCATTCCAGGCATCAGGCTAAACAGTAATTTACTCCGTTATTTCAGACAAGGGTTTGAGGCCAGTGATTCAGAGTTAAAAAATGAGAGATATTTGATATCGATAGAAAGTCCAGGATTGATCAGCTTGAGATACATTTTCTGGGAGATTTTATAGGTTCTTGAGAATCACAATTCACTTTTATTTCCCCTTTTTCCTCACTGCAAGATTGAGGGGACTATGGACAAAACACAGATTTGGATATTCAAGCTGCTAACTAGCTGTGATTCAGCCAAGTTATTTGCCAGTCTCTGAGATTCTATTCCTTCTTTGTTAAAACTGGGAGTCTGGTAGAGGTGGTCTCAAAGGTCCCTTGGAGCCCAGATAGTTTGTAATTCGTTACTTTAAGTTCACATGTAGTAATTATCCAGGCACTAAGGCTTAGAATACATTCCCTGAGAAGCTCCAGTGTAATTTTTTCCTTCATCATCCACACATTGGTCTCTTTTTTCACTGTACTCTTCTATGTACAGAATCTAAATTCCACATTTGTACAGACCTACCCATTTATTTCTACCCATTTTCTTCTTGATAGTCATTCATCTCTTGCTCCAGAGGGAATCTAGAACATAGAGTCAGGGCTTGAGTATTTTGTGAACCCCTAAATTATGGCATTTATAAAGATGCCTTTACACATGAAATATTTTCTCCTATCCCAGAGATGGAGTACATATGTTATAAAGATGGTTGGAATAGAACTAATTCACTCTAGATTCACCCTTGTTGCCCCCTCTATCACCTCCTGTCTCTTACCAAATTGGTCAAGACCAGTTCATAGAGCAAAATTTGCTCTCCCATGGATCACTGTTCCAAATTGGTAGATAAGAATCATCATGAACTCACAACAGTTAGGGGCTAATTTTCTGAAAACCAAGTCAGTACCTCCCCACTGGTGGCCAATGGAAGATAATCCCCTGTGACCACTTTCAGAGTGGTGACTCAGACAAATGATACACCTTGTCAGCATGTTGGGGATTTGAGTATTTGAAGACAGATTCTGCTCTTTCCCTCTTCTCATTAAATGGGAAATGGTGACAGTCCAGAGATGAAAGTGTTATGCTGAGGATAGCAGAGGCACCTGCCAGCCTAGGACTCTAGATAATCTTAGAGAGTGGGGCTCTCTTCCTGCTGTAGCTGCTCTGCCCAGCTCTGGACAGCTACTTACCAAGCCCAAGTCTCTATCTGGAACTTCCTCGACCACTGCAACGTTCCCACCACAAAGCTTTTACTCTATGAACGCGCTCACCACAACAATCAGCTTCACTTCTATATTTTACTTATGACAATGACACTCTTCCCCTTCTTGAAAATTGAATGACATAAGTCTTCTTTAAGTCTTTCCTGTTATTTTCAATTTTCAAGTATCATTGACAACAGCCAGCAATCTCTCTGCAAAGTAGCGGCAGCAGGCTGCAATGAAATGGAAACTGCTCACAGATAATTTTTGAAGAGAAAAGAATGACTTCCTATGGATTCTGAGAAAAGTTCAGATTTTAATTTTTTAACCAGTTTCCAAGAAGATAATACTGCACTGCTGCCAACTAAATCGAATCACAGTAAATATAGTTCAATAAATAGAATAAAATTATTTTAAATTAAAATATAGGAGTTACTGATCTGCCTTTACTTGAATATATCAAGACTGAAAAATTTGAATTCTTCACTTACATTAATGGCGGTTTTAGAAATGAGATCCTAAAATGTTGCAGGGTGAGGTCCTCAGAAAACAGACACTGAGACAGAGATTTGAACACAGCAAGTTTATTAGCTCTCAGTATCTATACTTGTGAAGAAGTGAAGAAAACAGTATTGGGCAAAAATTAAGATGTTGAAATGTGATGTAGCCAAGCAAAAACCTCTGGAGCTGGGAGAGCCCTTTGTAGTTGTCTTAAGGCGAAGCAACACCCTAAATTGACAAATCACTAGAGGTAGTATATCCCTAAGAAGGGAGCATGACCTTGGAAGAAGCGGCTGTTTAACAAGGTGGGTGGATTGCCTGAGGTCAGGAGTTTGGAACCAGGCTGGCTCACATGGTGAAACCCTGTTCCTATTAAAAATACAAAAATTAGCCAAGTGTGGTGGCAGGTGCCTATAATCCCAGCTACTCAGGAGGCTGAGGCAGGAGAGTTGTTTGAACCCAGGAGGTGGAGGTTGCAGTGAGCTGAGATCGTGCCACTGCACTACAGCCTGGGTGACAGAGCGAGACTCCATCTCAAAAAAGAAATAAATAAAATAAAACAAGGACAATCTTGAAGGGGAACTCAACTGACAGCCATTAGCGCAAGGTACTCCCAGCAGCTGGAGGAATGCTTGTGTGGGTCCTGAGGGAGTGCAATCCAGGTGATGTGCTACAGCATTCACCAAATACAACTTCAGATAGAAGACAGTGTGGCACTGGCCAGCAGACCTTTACCCAGTGGCTGCTAATTACATCAAGCAGAACTACTAAGCATGAACTATTAAGAAATAAACTATATCATTTCTAGAAATCTGGAGACTAAAACAATGATATCTTTTATCCCCAGTCAGACTTCACATGACAATTTTTTGGCAAAGCAAGACATGTTAACTTAAAGAATTTATTTCAAATGAATTGTCCCATTTTCAGCATCCTGCAGACTTTCAGAAGTGATATCTTGCCTCTGCAGGGTCACTCCATTGGATTAGATGGATTGTGGATCCTGGAGGAGTGTATTTGAAACTCAGGGTATGCTTGTTCTTCAGTATAGAAGGCCAGAGTGCAGTAGAAAGACGAGAGATAGAGTATCCTTCCTTGCACCAGCACATATATTTTCACCTTCTGTGATGCTCAGACATAAAATGCTGTTTATAACTCAGGTTTAAAGTTGGGAGTATAAAAGAAAAAACTTCTGAAAATTTACCCCTGCAGGCTTAGGAGCTCACTGGAAAAAATTTAAGTCATGCATCAGGTTTCTGTTCATTAATAATTCTTTTCAGAAGTTGTAGTTAAAGTACTTACGTTTATTAACACTATTACAGAGAGTTTTATGTCAACCTGGCAAAATGAACTATACTTTTGCTGAGCCTTTCAACCTCCATCCTTTTAACTCTTGTGTTGAATGTATGAAAAGTGTTAACCTTTTCAGCATGTTCTTCTTTTCTATCTGAGTTTTCTGATCTGAGCATCTGAGGAGTATGGACAGTTCAAGTCTGTGTTCTCTGTAGTTGATGCTTTTTGGCTTTCCTACATCTACACTCTTTACTACTGGGTCAGTTAGAGCAATTCCATCAGCTTGGAAGGTCTGTCTCTAGCTTTTTTTGGTTTGTTTGTTTTTTGATTTACAAGAAAGCCTTCAATGTTCACAGAAATGCATACGTGTGTGTATCTTCTAACTTATTTGCTAAAAATGTGGCATAAATTATTCTGACACCCTTAACAGTCAACTAGAAAATCTTTCTGAAGTGGTTTCCAAACATTTTGCTCATTAGCTTTATAGAACCCTGCTGGACTTTATGTTTTAATGGAGTTACATAACTTGAAATGCTCTCAGGGTATGTGTCGCTGTGTTCATGTGTATGAGAGTACATCAGGTATGCACAATCCAGGCATGCAATTTTTTTTCTACATTCATAAGTGTATGCCAAACTATTTTCTAACTGTTCTAGAGCAGGGCATAGAAGATCATGATAACCTCAAACAGAAACTTCCAATCTTAGCACTCAGTTCAATTTAGTCTAGTCTTCTTGATCCAATACATCAGGGCATTATTGAAAGAGCATTAAATATTAACACATTTATAAACTCAAAGAAAAAGCCTTTACAACCTTTCCTCATTAAGGAGACAGGGGCTTTTGCCCCACGGCCCTGCGCAGAGCATCTTTGACTTCCTTGTTCCTCAGGCTGTACACAATGGGGTTCAGCAGGGGAGTGATGACAGTGTAAGTCACTGAGATGAGTCTGTCCTGTCCCAGGGAACTCTGGGACTTAGGCTTCAGGTAGATGATGGAGGCACAGCCATAGTGGATGATGACCACTATGAGGTGGGAGGCGCAGGTGGCAAAAGCCTTCTTCCGACCCTCAGCTGAGGCAATCTTAAGAATGGTAGAGATGATGAGGACATAGGAGATAAAGACCAAGCCCATAGGTAGCACAAGGGCACAGACGCTGACAACAAAGTTGATGATCTCATTGACAGTGGTGTCTGTGCAGGCCAGCTTCAGCAGGGGTCTCACATCACAGAAGAAGTGGGAGATGACAAAGGCATCACAGAAGGGCAGGCCAAACACAGATGTTACCTGGACAATGGCCATGTCCAGGCCAATTCCCAGTGACCCAGATGCCAACTGGACACAGGCCCTCTTACCCATGATGACTGAATACCTTAGGGGGTTGCAGATGGCCACATAGCGGTCATATCCCATGACTATGAGCAGGAAGCAGTTGTTGATGCCAAAAGTGAGATAGAAGAAGAGCTGAGTGGCACAGCCTTGAATGGTAATGGGTTGGTAAGGATTTAAGAGACCAGAAAGCATTCGGGGAATGATGGCCACAGTGTAGCAGGTCTCAGAGATGGATAGCATACTTAGGAAGAAGTACATGGGGGTGTGGAGATGATGGTACAGGCGAATAATCATCACGATGATCACATTGCCAGAGAGAGTCAGCAGGTACAAAGTTAGAAAGACAACAAAGAAGGCAAGTCTGTGCTGCCACCTGAAGCTGGAAAAACCTTCAAAAAGGATCTCAGTCACAAAAGTAGAATTTGGCTTTGCCATAGAGGTAGGTCTAGGTGTGAAAGAGCTGGGCAGACGAAAGAAAGGTGTGATGAGTTAACCATGAAACAGAGCAGGTTGGGCCAAGGCATTCATTGAAGATCATGTCCATCCTGTGAGCAATGCCCTAGAGCTGTTGTTGGCCATTTGCTCAGAATAACCATCTGTGCCCACCTTCTTCTTTGGAAGCATAGAAGCCTACTGTAGGACCGTGGGATTGAGAGCAGAGATAGAGTTCAGAAAGCAGTAATAAACTAAAAGAGGTCTGTAGAAACAACTCCCTGGTTCTATTTTTGTTTTTTTTTAAAATCATATATGCAGAGGTATATGATCCAGAGGTGTGCTTGCTCTGAAGTGTGATCATATGGAGGTCAGAGGAGCATCCATACTGTTTTCCATCATTTTACCTTCCCAGCAACTGTACACAAGGGTTCCAATTTCTCAACATCCTCACCAACACTCGTTATCTTTTGATAATAGTTTTTTAAAAAAATACTAGCCACCCTGTTATGTGGTGATAACGCATTGTGGTGATGATTTGCATTTCCCTGATGATTAGCGACACTGAACATCTTTTCATATACCTGAATTAAAATCATAATCTATAAGAGATATTTGCATTTCCATTCATTACGGCACCATTCACAATAGCCAAGTTGTGGAAACAACCCAGGTGTCCACTGACAGATGAATGAATTCAGCCTTAAAAACAAAAAAAGAAAATCCTGCTCTTTGCAACAACAGAAATGAACCTGGAGGGCGTTAAGTGTTATAAGCCAGTCACAGGAGGACAAACATTGCACGATTCCACTTATATGAAGTATCTAAAATAGTCAAAGTCATAGCAGCAGGGAATAGAATGGTGGTTACTGGGGAACAGGAAAGGGGAAGTGGGGAGTTGTTCAATTCATGTAAAATTTCAATTAGGCAAGATGAATTAATTCTAAAGGGCTACTGTACAGCATAATTCTTATAGTCAACAATATTATAATATGCACTTAAAAATTTGTTAAGATGACGCCATCTTAACAAATCTCATGTTAAGTGTCTTACCACAAAACAAAACAAAAAACAAAGGGACACAAGGAAGTGTTTAAAAGTGATAGATATGTTTATTACCCTAATTATGATGATGGTTTCACGGGTGTATGTATATTGCCAAGCTCATTAAGTTGTACGCATTAAATATATGAAGTATATTATATATCCACTTACTTCAATAAAGCCGTTTAAAAAAAGAAACAAACAACTACCCGGCCATTGAAGAAGTGGGTCGAGGTCAAGGAAGAAGCAGGCGATACATCAAATGTGCTCAGCTCTAGAGTTCCTTCTCAGCAAACTCCTGAATTCCCAAAGATCCAATGAGGAATAGTGAAGGATAAAAGATGCGAGACTGAGATCCTTTTAACAGCATTAGCAGTTTTCAATGCCAAACGTCCCATGAGAGTCCTGAGTGTTTCTCCTTCCCAGAACCCTAGGTCCTGGTCTTTGTTTATTTAAGTCCTGCATCTAAAATCCTCAGTGACAGTCAAAGAGTAAAAAAGGGAACACTTCTGCTGAATTTTTTTCTAGAGACCTTGCAACAAATATCTTCTAGAATCACGAAAAATGGTTTGATATAGCACTGCAATATTTAGATTGTCTCCTTGAATTCTAACCATAGGCAGAAAAGCTGGCAAATGAATCTGAGGGTGTCTCTTCAAGTAGGGAATAGGTTTTTCTAGTATGAGAGCAAAGACAATATTCATTTAACCAGAGAAGGACAAATCACCCTATTTTCACTTCAATCATGCATATTCCAAGCTATGCTGGGGATAGAAATAAGCTGATCCACCTTCTTTTAGTCTTATCTCAAATAGACCCAGCATGAGAGATTGTACTGGAACAGATTAACCTTGCTCCTTATGCCCACATGTACTCCTAATAATACTCACCATGCTTAACCATTATCTCCATTCAGAAAGCTGAGGACTGTTCTGATTACCACCCTTCCCTTTTCCACACAAAGACAGTGCCTCCTGAAATTCTCTCTTCCTGTCCCCTCCTCCTCATGCTTTTTACCAACACTCTGCTACTGACTGCCATCACCATCCTCTATGATCACCACAATGGCCTCCCAACTAATCTGTCTCATTTTGGTTGATATTAGTCTAAGTCTTCCTCCCAGATGTTGACATTACACTTTTTTCAAAAACCTGTTCATGGAGCTCTCCTGCATAAATTCCTCAATAGCTCTTCGGAATCTTAACCCTAATATTTAACTCATTTGTTAATTGAGTATTTTAGTATTTCATACAGTTGCCATGAAAACTAAATGGGTTACTTGTTTGAAGAGTCTGACCTAGCGTTTGACATATAGGAAACTCTCAATAAATACCAGTGTTATTAGAAGTTACAGTTATTTCTTTTTTGTTTTCCCCAAATTAGCAAGCTTAAATTTCTAAGACGATCAGGGGTAAGGGTGGAGGCTTTTCAATCTAATATTCCTGGATTTGTAAACAAATATGTGATTATCCTAGTCTTAACTTTATAATTGTTATAATTTCCCTTCCAGTTGTTCATATGGACATTTTTATGCTCTTTTAAAATCTTCTTGAAGTGCGTTGACCAAATCCACGCACTGCTGCATGTATTACCCTAACACAGGTGTGGATTAAATTGAATGTAATTTTCAGTTTTGCCTCTAATCCTCTTATCCCTTTCTTGAAGATGCTCCATATTTTACTTCTCCCTCAGGTCATAGTAGTTCATCCAACGAATATATCTAGAAACAATCTGCAGTGACATCTAGATCCCTTGCCTGGGTTATAATTTATAGCGTGGAGCCCATCATTGTAAAATCACAGTTTCTTTATACTTGCCTACAGCAAAATTAGTTCACATTATTTTCAAAATATAATTTCATTTGATCAACTAGAAGATCTTATTCATGTCTGTGGCCTCAAATATTTGCTTCCCTCTTCTCCAGATCATTAGTTAAACTGATAACACCCCCCAAAAATGCTATCCCAGCTCCATCCAAGAGAATAATCAGTAAAAGGATGCTGAGTGGAATGGGGAAATTTAAAATGTAGTCAAGGATAGGGTTACTTACCTAAGGTCTAGGAAAGTAGGTGAGGAGGGAAAAATGAGAGATAAAAAAGAAGAGAGGGTGCAGAGAGACCGAAACCTCAAAATTCAGGTAATCTCATTGACTTCGAAATTTGTATTGCCTTTCCTCACTTTCAAATTACAAAAAAGGTGAAATAGTCCTGTTCCTGACCCAATCCCAGATGAGTGTACTGTTTACAGTTTTTTCTTTGGAGAAGAAAACTTATCCTCGTCTCCTGAATTTTAAAAAATCTCCCAAACATTTTTATTCTATGCATGCATCAAAATACATGTACCCTGTAAATATGTACAACTATTATGTATAAATTTTTAAAACAAAATAAGCCAGGCACAGAAAGAAAAATATCATATGTTCTCACTTATATGTGAGAGCTTAAAAAGTTGATCTCATGGAGGTAGAGAAGAGAATGATGATTACTAGAAGCTGACAATGGTGAGGTTGTGGATGAAGAGAGGTTGGTTAACAGGTACAAACATATAGGTAGATAGAAGGAATCCATTTTGATACTCAATGGTCCAGGAGGCAATAATAATGTGTTTCATATTTCAAGATTTCTAAAAGAGAAGATTTGAAGTGTTCCCAATACAAAGAAATGATACATGTTTGAGGTGATGCACATTCTAATTATTTTGGTTTTATAATTACACATTGTATGTATCAAAACAATCACATGTATCATATAAATATGCAAAATTATATATTAATAAAGCAAACTTTGAAATCTAAAACAAATAGTCTCCTGTGTATTTCAGTTTGCTTAAACTAAAATTGTTGTTGGTTTTACCAAGCAAAACAATTTCTTCAAGAGTTCAATTGTAGGGAAGCCACAAGTATAAGTACTGTGCTAGTGCTAAGGAAAAAAGATGACCCAAGATGGTCTTTTTTCTCATCAAGCTTAGATTCTTGAACAGCCTTTGGTAGAGGATCCAGTTACAGCCTTCCAAGTGCTTTATGGCCACCTTCTCTACATCCGTCTATTCATCTACATTTCCAACTTCTTGGAAATCACATTCTTTCTTATAAGAGTCCACGTTCCCCACTGAGAGCGGTAACAGTATGCGCTGTCATAAACATTCCCCATCCCAGCAGTTAAGCAAGCAAAACTTACCACGTAGCCTGTTTCTTGAGTCTTCTAGAGAGTTGTGCTTGTGCCTGAATTATATCCACCACTCTGGAAATTTGACTTCCTGCAATCATAGATTAAGGATTTTTTTTTTAACCGATAGTTATGCAGTGTTTCTCAGTTTTTTGTCAATGCCCTTTCTAAAATTATTTAAAACCCATCAGTTATTTTACTAACCATTACTTTATAGAACCATGTTAATGTACTGAAGAGCCTATGATTTTCCTTAGCAGAGGGTCACTAATATCACACTGAGCAGAGTTATAGTTCTTCCTCCTTTGCTGGCTAATCTTTAGGAAGCACCAAGAATGTGATAACTCAAGAAACTATTTAGAGAGGAAGGAAATAACGCCTATCTCAGTCTTCCTGTGCCTGACACCAGTCGTGAAGTCACATTAAGTTCCCCCAGATTCTCCCAAGCCCATCCCCTGGAAGAATTTCATCTTTGGGTCACAAAGCATTAACTTTGGCTTAGCTGTTTTTTAATAAGGTACAAATTGTCTGACCCCAATGCTAGATATCTCTGTCTCCAAAACAACACTTACTATTCCCAAGCGATAGTGGCAGAAGACACAATCCAAACAGCAGAGCACCTGGAGACCTCATTACTAAGGCGGCTCGTTTCCTAATCCTGAGAATAACACTTTGAAGAACGGAGTTGGCTTGGCTCTTAGGGACAGTCTCTGGGATGAAAAAGCTTATTTCCCTTATTAGTGCGTGTCATAGTCCTGCTAATATTCATGTCATTTTTTTTGTACATTTATCTGG